TCTAGCAGTACTTAGTCACAGTCAATTGGACTTGTTCTGTAATGTTGAAGACGTTTCATAGTTTTCCCAAGTCACTTCTTCAGTTCTTAACAGCGTCAGGAACACACAGGGAGCAATAACGCCTGGACCCATGGAAAGGCAGATGTTCTTGACCCAGAATAGAACGGGAGGTGTACAAATTGTGGAACCATCCTATTCTAGATACATAATCCCATTCTTGGTGTCAGGATGGCTTCATAGGTCTTGGATTCACGTGGCTAAAGGTGTGAATTGTTGTCGTGGGGATACCCATAAGGAAGAAAAATATATTTGAAATATATTTTAAAAATATTCTTCTCAAATATATTGACATATATTTGAAATGCTACAATTTTGGGTAGATTCAATATATTTCTAAATATATTTCAAGCGGGAGTCACTTTGGGTGGGCGGCCCATGGAACCCAGCTCACTTTGGAGAGATGGGGAGACCCCTATCTCAGCTCCCCATATCCCTATTATGTGTAAGTCACCCTGTGCTGTTAGGGGTACAGGGTCATCTGTCCTAATATTGGGGTGGGGGTTGTTGATTGTTTAATGCCATGTGGTTGCATCCTATTGTTCTATTGTGTGTCTGGCTTGGGAGCAAACTATTATGGGATGCATGTGTTTATGGGTATTGGCTTGGTGGGGGGGTGTCTCCAGCAGCCCTCCCTCCTGATGGGACTGTTTGTTGGTGTGTCTCTTGTTACTAAATGTAGATTGCCCCGTCTTGTGTCATTATGCAGGGAGGGGGGGTTGCTCCCTTGAGTGTACATATCTTGTATCTGTGTTAAAATAAACTAGTCTACTCTGCTTTACTTCAAGATTGGTGTTGTCTAGTCAGCTGTATGGTCTGCTGTAGTGTCTGTTGTCGGTGTTTGGACAGGGAAGCGGTAGTCTAATGGAAGTACCCAAGTGCAGTCTGGGGTCGCTTCCGTTACACAGAGCAGTCCAAACCTCAAGAGGAAGCGCTCTTTCCAATGGTCGGGAGTGTCTTCCTGGAAGGACAGTGACATCACGCCCATCCATGCCGAAGACCTATAATTCCAACATTTGGGTTTATGGTCGGTGATTTGTAAAGGGGGAGGGGGGAGGGGCAATTTGCACAGACCTTACATTTTGTTGCAAGGTCCACATTAAGCAAAGATTTTCACACAGCCAGGGGGTTGTTCCCTTGAGTGTATATATCTTGTATCTGTGTTAAAATAAACAAATCTATGTCCTTGTTTACATCCAAGATTGGTGTCGTCTAGTCTTGTATGGCCGGCTGTGGTGTCTGTGGTCGGTGTTCAGACGGGGAAGCGGTAGTCTAATGGAAGTACCCAAGTGCAGTCTGGGGCTGGTTCCATTACAGCCCGCCTGGCGCCAGTCTGGTGGCAGGTGTGTGCGCACCGGCACGCACGCCGGTGCGCACACGCGCGCACGGGCACGGCTGATAGGTAATTGGCATTGGCGCATAAATGTGCGCTTGGGCATTCTCCATTTTCCCTGACAAGTCCATCTCACATACACAAAGGGGGCATGGGGGGACCAACGTAGCCACCCTAGGACAGGAAGCCCGACAAGGGCAGATAAAAGCTTGCCCAAACAAAGGAAGAAAGATACAAAAGGTACACTCTGATTATTTAATAATATCCCTTTTATTTTCTACAAAACGCAAGCTTGGTGTCACTTTAAGCAAAAGCAAATTTTTCGCTATCGATGTCCCTTTAAATAAGAGTGATCTTGACTGCTATAGGCACAGAGCGTGTGATACAATTACTATAGCTATCTAATACATATCGCAACAAAAGATTAAAAGGCGAAACTTCAAAGGCAAAGACTAAACATCTGGAAACCGAATATCATATCCTGTTGCATATTTTATTTGCATATTTTTCAAGGAAGCTCTTGTGGGTTTAAGATTCTTATTATTCTAAATGATGGAATGGATGCCTGACCACACTTTTCCTGTGAAAAACTGATAAGTTTAGACATCGAGAGAGCCACTTGCCAGAAGTTTTTTTTTTTTTTTTTTTTTTTTTTCCTCTAGAAATGCCTGTTGTTATTCAGAACGGTTTTTTACATAAACAAATCAGATTGCAAATTAAAAATAGATTCTCTGAAAGACTTGAGATTAAATGGTAAATTATAACAAGGCTTCTATTTTTTTTTTTTCAGAAACGTGATTTTCCACTCTATAGATTGTTTTACGTTTTTTTTTTGAAGGATAGCCATCCTAAGATGGTCAGCAACTACTCATGTTTGGCTCTTCAATGTATTGTTCGCAGTTAGCATCTTTGCTGAATGACAGGTGTTCCATAATCAGATACAGGATAAGCTACCTTGGTGTTAAGGCTGAATCGGCCATCGGTGACCAACGCAGCTCATTGGTGGAAAATGATCAGCCAATTAAATCCTGTGAGGAGGGAATGAGGGTGGTGGTACTGAGCTGCGCTGTGTATGTCTATGGACGCACCAAGCCTGGCTTGGGAATGCACATGTTTGGGGGGCCCTTCAGCACACAGCTTGCTAAGGGGGGATCCGAAGGAGAAGAACAGCAGATGGCATCATCGGGGGACTCTCAAAGAGGAGGCAAGGGGCTGCAGGTAAGGGTAACCTCTGTTTTATCTAGTTAGTCTTTACTTTTTTTTTTTTATTAATATTTTATTGATTTTTCCAATGTCAACTTTTTCAACAATAAAAATAAGCTTTCTTGTCATTAAATATCATACAAATACATAAACAAAAACAATTTTATCTTCTCCTTTTACAACACCCAATCCCCCCCCCCCCCCCAGTTAGTCTTTACAATCACTTTAAGGCTTAGGTTTAGATTAGTCTGAGATTAAAGTCTCACTTGAAGAAAATTCTACCACCGAGGCAGTCTAGAGCAGGGGCGGACTGACAACTCATGGGGCCCCCGGGCAATAGGTGATCATGGGGCTCCTGTGTCCTTGCCCAAACTCAAAAAAGCCTATGAAAAAGGTACCAGGGGCATCTCATGGGGCCCCCTAATGACCCCGGGCCCTCAATAGGGGATCATGGGGGCCCCTGTGTCCTTGCCCAAACTCAAAAAAGCCTATGAAAAAGGTACCAGGGGCATCTCATGGGGCCCCCTACTGACCCCGGGCCCTCAATAGGGGATCATGGGGCCCCTGTGTCCTTGCCCAAACTCAAAAAAGCCTATGAAAAAGGTACCAGGGGCATCTCATGGGGCCCCCTACTGATCCCGGGCTCTCGGGCAGTGCCCGAGTTTCCAAATGGTCAGTCCGCCCCTGGTCTAGAGATATATCAAAGAAAAATTATTCAATTACCAAACAGCTTTAATATATCCAATACAGACTCTAGACTGCCTCTGGGGTAGAATTTTCTTTAAAACAATCTCCCCTGAAGAAGCCTGTGAGGGCGAAACATGTAGGGAGTGATTACATAACCAAGTTTGAATCTCAGTTTTACTTTTAGTACTGAAATTGTTTTTATATTTCTGTATTTTTTTCCTTTTCTGTTTTTTACAAAAATACGAAATAAAAATTATATAACTTTTTTAGTATGTTTTGAATTCATGTTCATGCACCCTGAAAGTCCCATCTTCTCTATTGAATATTTGCAACTTTAAGGGATGTGGTGCAGTAATCATATCTGGTCGCCCGCTCGCCACTTCACTGTTACTACTATACTTCTGGTCTAGCACCATCAGAATCGCAGTTCTAAGCAGGATTTCCTACTGCTTGGAGCTGTAATACCATGTCTAGTAGACCTTACCAGTGCAAGTCAACACCAGGTAAAAGGCAATGGATACACAAGAAAGGGAAACCCAAAATTGCTCAAATTAAAGGAAGACTTTTTAGTCGTATTCTAGATCTGCCTGTCCGTTGCCTCATCCATCTTGCTAATTAATTGCTCCCCCCCCCCCCCCATTTATCTTTTAAGAAAAAAAAATGCAGCTTACATCTTTAAGCCAGAATAGAAGGTTGCGATCAGCGAGCTTTGATCTTATCTGTCCTGGAAGACAGCAGAGTTAAGAATTGAGTCACTGAATGTGTGAACTCCTCACTTATCTTAACAATGTGCTAACGACAGTGATTACTTGCGACCATTTATAACCTCACACCACGCAAAGTGATGCCAAACAAATGCCACTGGCGCTGAAAAACGGGTGTGCTGCATTATCGGGAACCTAGTGGAGGTAGACGTGAAACAAAGCACAACTGTTATGTTCAACACTGAGATGGTTCAGTGCATCTTGTTAAGAACAACATGGCTACTGCAAGACTAATTGGATGCGTGGTTGACACTCTCTTAAGCTGTATTGTAGAAGACTCTTTGGATGTAACATTTAAATAAAGAATTAAAAAAAAAAACCTAAATAATAACTAAAAACTATTGGAATGTATATTAGTATACAGGATTTATACAGCGCCAACAGTTTGCGCAGCGCTTTATAAAATGAAGGTAGACATTACAGTTACAATACAATTTGGTACAAGAGGAAACAGAGGGCCCTGGTCCTTAGAGCTTACAATCTAGGAGGAAGGGTTGAGTGATACAAAAGGTAATAGCTGTGGGGGGGGGGGGAGCTGATGGAGGAAATAGATGGCGGTTTACTAGGTAGACGCAGGATAGACTTCTTTAAAGAGAAAGGTTTTCAGGGATCGTCTAAAGGTGGATAGATTAGGAGACAGCTGGACAGATTGGGGTAGGGAGTTCCATAGGATGGGAGAAGCTCTGGAGAAGTCCTGGAGGCGAGCATGGGAGGAGATGACACAGGAACTAGAGAGCAGAAGGTCTTGGGAGCATAGAGAAGAGCAGTTTGGTTGATATTTTGAGACCTGGTTGGTGATGTAGCTGGGGGTAGAGTTGTGGATGGCTTTGTAAGTTGTTAATTTTAATGAATTTTATTCATTGAGCGAGTGGAGGGATTGGCAGGGAGGGGTGGAGGACACTGAATGCAGGCCAGTGCAGGGATTGGCAGAGAGCGGTGGAGGACACTGAGTGGAGGCCAGTGGAGGGACTGGCAGAGAGGGATGGAGGACACTGAGTGGAAGCCAGTGGAGGAATTGGCAGAGAGGGGTGGAGGTCAGTGGAGGGATTGGCAGAGAGGGGTGGAGGACACTGAGTAGAGGTCAGTGGAGGGATTGGCAGAGAGGGATGGAGGGCACTGAGTGGAGGCATTGGCAGAGAGGGATGGAGGACACTGAATGGAGGCCAGTGGAGGGATTGGCAGAGAGGGATGGAGGACACTGAATGGAGGCCAAAGGAGGGACTGGCAGAGAGGGGTGGAGGACACTGAGTGGAGGTCAGTGAAGGAACTGGCAGAGAGGGGTGGAGGACACTGAGTGGAGGTCAGTGGAGAGATTGGCAGAGAGGGATGGAGGACACTGAGTGGAGGCCAGTGGAGGGACTGGCAGAGAGGGGTGGAGGACACTGAGTGGAGGTCAGTGGAGAGATTGGCAGAGAGGGATGGAGGACACTGAATGGAGGTCAGTGGAGGGACTGGCAGAGAGGGATGGAGGACACTGAATGGAGGTCAGTGAAGGGACTGGCAGAGAGGGGTGGAGGACACTGAGTGGAGGTCAGTGGAGAGATTGGCAGAGAGGGATGGAGGACACTGAGTGGAGGTCAGAGGAGGGATTGGCAGAGAGGGGTGGAGGACACTGAGTGGAGGCCAGTGGAGGGATTGGCAGAGAGGGGTGGAGGACACTGAATGGAGGTCAGTGGAGGGATTGGCAGAGAGGGGTGGAGGACACTGATTGGAAGCCAGTGGAGGGATTGACAGAGAGGGGTTATATATAGGCAACATTTTTTGTATGGAGTAGAGAAGGGTTAGGCCCTTTGTTAAGTTTGTATTTCTCTGTATCCCTGTTATGGTGATTTATCCTCTCTATTTATATAGTGACATAGTTAGGTTAAAAAAGGTAACCAAAGGGAAAAATGAATAAATAGAATAAATAAATATAAAGCTTCCATATACAGAATCCTATAACCATAGTTGATCCAGAGGAAAGCAAAGAAAAAAAAAGTATAAAGTTTTGTCCAATTTGCTCCAGCGGGGGAAAAATAAAGTTGTTCTTGATATCCAGAAATTCCCTTGATCAACACTCTCTGCTGTTATTTATTTATTATTTCAGGTACTTATATAGCACCATCAACGTACACAGCACTTTACATATATATTGTACATTCACATCAGTCCCTAACCCTCAAGGGGTGTACAATCTAAGGTCCCTAACCCTCAAGGGGCGTACAATCTAAGGTCCCTAACCCTCAAGGGGCGTACAATCTAAGGTCCCTAACCCTCAAGGGGCGTACAATCTAAGGTCCCTAACCCTCAAGGGGCATACAATCTAAGGTCCCTAACCCTCAAGGGGCGTACAATCTAAGGTCCCTAACTCACATTCATATATACACATACTAGGGACAATTTAGACAGGAGCCAATTCACCTCCCAGCATGTCTTTAGAGTGTGGGAGGAAACCGGAGTACCCGAAGGAAACCTACACAGGCACAGGGAGAACATGCAAATTCCAGCCAGGAGGTGCCATGGCTGGGATTCGAACGAACGACCCTAGTGCTGCCAGGCAGAAGTGCTAACCATTTAGCCACTGTGCTGTTACCTGTAAATGTTAATATCCAGTTATATGCTCATGGGCCACTTTATTGGGTCCACGTTTTCAATTGCTTGGTAACACAAATTGCTAATCAGCCAATCACATGACAGCAACTCAATGCATTTAGGCATCTACACGTGGTGAAGATGACTTGCTGAAGTCCAAACTGAGCATCCGAATGGGGAAGAAAGGGGATTTAAGTGACTTTGAACATGGCATGGTGGTTGGTGCCAGGCGGGCTGGTCTGAGTATTTCAAAAACTGCTGATCTAATGGGATTTTCAGGCACAACCATCTCTAGGGTTTACAGAGAATGGTCCGAATAAATATCCAGTGAGCGACAGTTGTGTGGATGAAAATGCATTGGAGATGTTAGAGGTCAGAGGAGAATTGGCATTCGATTTCAGCTGTCACATTCAGATGGTAGGGTCAGAATTTGGCGTAAACAACATGAAAGCATGGATCCATCCTGCCTTGTATGTTGGCTGTTCAGGCTGGTGGTGGTGTAATTGTGTGGGCGATATTTTCTTGGCACTAGCAATATGTACCTAAAAAAGTGTCCAGTGAGTGTATTTTGTGCATTTAGGAATGCATCCAGCCCTTTTCAAAACAATCTATTGAGCTGGCCAGAACTATCCTGAGGACCATTACCACTGGCACAGAAATGCAAAAATTTAAAATTTAGTGTTGTCACCAGAGCAAGAAGAGGAGGAAAAAAACCTTTTCTCCCACATCTCTCTAAGATGGAAATGTATTTACTTTGGAGAAATGTCCTCCAAAACTGTGTCTCCAGGACCTAGTCTGACAAAGGCAGCAAAAAAAAACCCGATGGAGTTTTAACCCTTCCTTGCTGTTAAAAAAAATAGATTACCTTTACATACAACTTTAATATCTAAGGTTTGCTAAACCAACAGCGCCATTATTAAAATAATTGACAGCTTAGCAAATTGTGGCTCATTTTGGGCCCCAAAGAGCTCTTCAAAGTAGGTTGCTGATCACATCGGTTAATAAAACCGGTTCCAGATGATACAATAGAGGGGTACCGTCTGCGGCCGTGCCTCTACATGTTTTGTGGCCTATACCAATTCCTCAGGAGGAGAAATGAGCAAAAGAATTGTCTGTAATAAAACATAATAACATAAACATATAGCATAAAGCAAAATACAGCACAATAAAGTGAAATACCAACATCATAAATGACACGGGTGGTTGAAAATTTGCTTACTGGCATGAACAGACGTCCAAGGGAGGATCTCATATCTATCTATCTATCTATCTATCTATCTATCTATCTATCTATCTATTATCTATTATCTATCTATCTATCTATCTATTCTATCTATCTATCTATTATCTATCTATTATCTATCTATCTGTCTGTCTGTCTGTCTGTCTGTCTGTCTGTATATCTATCTATCTATCTATCTATCTATCTATCTATCTATCTATCTATCTATCTAAGTCACAACAATCTATCATCTATCTATTATCTTCTATCTATCTATCTATCTATCTATCTATCTATCTATCTATCTATCTATCTGTCTGTCTGTATATCTATCTATCTATCCATTCATTCGTATCCAACCCTTGGCGATTGCATGGACCGTCACTCGTAATCAACTTTTTCCATGAATTCTCTTAGTAATTATTGTACAGGGTAGGTTGCCAGGTCTTTCCCCAGCCCCTACCATGTAGGAGATCCCACATGGCCAGGGATGGATCTCATATAAGGATGCCAAAACTTCCCCTGATGGCGGGCCTGGGGGGCACAAGGAGCACCCAAAAGAACCCTCCAAAAACAAGCTGAGGAATCAAACATAGGCAAAATAATTCATAGTGCCAAAGGACCCAAACAAAAGGAAACAGAATATATATATATACGTAAATGAAAAAAACTGAGCTAAACTTGATGGACCACCTGGTCTGCCATCGCTCTTCTATGTTTGTGTGTTACAAACATTTATTTAGCTGGCTTTCAACAGTATTTTCCTAGGTGCACACGTTGAAAAAAGAAACATCAAGTTCAACCAAATTAAAAAAAATTGTATACTCAGAACCCAGAACCAGAAGCTAAATGAGGAGAAGCCAAGAACCTTATAAAATGTGATCAAGGTTGCTCTAACTAGTAAAAAAAAAATCTTCCCAGGTTCCGAAAAAGGCATTTGGATACCACAGGGTCCTTGAGCCTAACCCAGCTGTGAGTTGACCAAATTGAAAAGTAGAATAATGTTTAGAGTTTTTTTATTCTTAAGTTTGTTTGGATCTGTACTGTGATGAGCTGTTTTTGTGACATGCTGGAAAACAAACTTCCAAAACAGATGTTAATGCTGCAAATGAACAGTAAGTACAAGTTAGCAGTGCTTAGTACATTCAAGTAGACTTGATTGAGGAGAGATGATGCTTTAGGCTCTCCTAGCTATCTGCTGGCAGTAGAGATCACCACCTATAACCATTAGCACTGAAGAGTACAATTGTCCTACATGTCAGTGAAGGTTCTCATTTATCCAGGTCACAGTATATCTAGTAGTAGTTGGTCACATTCATCTGGACTTGATCTATGATGTTGATTATGTCCAAGCCGCTTCTTCATATCTGAGTTTCAGGAACATACTCCAGTGTTAATATCCACACAGATAGCACCAACACCTTAATTCAGTCCCCAAGGAATGTGTCAAGGCAAATGTTGCCCAAAAACAAGATGGGAAGTGTGAAAGCTGTGGAACCACCATGTTCCAGCTACATAATCCAGTCCATGGTGTCAGGAAGTGTTAATCCTTAAATTCACATGGCTGAAGGTGTGAATGGTTGTTAAATCACTGTGACAGAGATGTTAAAATGGCAGATGGTGGAAGTGTCAAGGTCCTACCTTTTTACCAGAGGTTATGTTACTCCATGTGCTGGCATCCATCTTGGATTTCTGCAGAGCATGGTGGGAATCTTTTATGCCTTCAGGTCTCTGAGGTCCATCCCCCAGAGGGGTGTGGCTGATGACATATAAGCCTGTGTTCCGCACATGCTCTTTGCACTTGTGTCTTGTGTCTTTGTGTTGCTGTTACTCTGTTCTGACTCTCGTGACTCTCCTGGAATCTGACTCGGCTTGTGACCTGACCATTCTTTGTGTTCTCCTTTGATCTGACCCTCCGTTGCTGAACCCGGCTCGTGACCTGTGATTCTCGTCTGCTGTCCTGTACCATTTTTGTCTTGTTGTTGTTGACCCAGCCTGTCTGACTACTCTATTGTCTTTACCACTAGCTACACGCCATTGGCGGGTGGCCATTACCGCAGCTGGGGTGCCTCGGGGGCCGCGACCTGGTTCCTGGCTGCGTCAAGTCCATCCCCACCATCAGGGGCCCTGGTGAAGGGCAGCCTGGGACTTAGACTCCGCGCCCTGAGGGACTTCGGTCTGTAGGTGGTGGTTGTCGTCAGCCTGTGCGTTACATTGATATTAGGCCTGCCTGTCCGTTTCCCAGCTCCTGCCCTGACAGGAAGACAAATGGTGTCAAAAGTCCCCACCCCTGTTTAGGTATGTTTTGTTCCAGTTTGGCACAGATGGTTGCTTTAACACCTCTTGTGAACCCCACTGTCCTCTCCATTCAAAATGTACACCTCACTGTCCCCAAAAGAATGTCGAAAAATGCTGAGTCTTGCCCTGTAGAGTTTTCCCTTGGGCCATTTTTTGTTGAGATGTTGCTTTGTCCTCCCAATGTGCAGGATGACCCAACAACAAAAGCAAGTGAAGTAACCAAGTAAGGCTTTCAATGACTGTCTCATTTAGTGGTGATCATCTGAATCATCTGTAGAGAGGTGATTTCCAATGATAAAGAAATAAAATTACATTGTTTCACACATTCTCTTTGTTTTTTTTTGTTCACCAAAAACTAATGGTTATAGATGGCGACCTCAATTGCCAACAGCCAAGGAAGCCTGAAGCATCTTCTTTCATCAATACTACTTTTTGGTGGCTTTCAATGACTGCCTTTCATTTAGTGATGATCATCTGAAGCATCTGTAGAAAGGCGATTTCCAAGGAAAAGCAAATAAAATTACATAGTCCACACATTCTCTTTCTTTCTTTTTTTTGTTCACCAAAAACTAATGGTTATAGGTGGCGATCTTAATTGCCAACAGCCAAGGAAGCCTGAAACACCTTCTTTCATCAATACTACTTTTTG